CATCTCAGCAGTGTGTTATTTACCCAGGAGTATATGCTATAAACTGTAATATAAATATATCATTACGTATACATTAAAGTACAATTTGTTTTGATGCTCCTGTAGTTCTCCTGCAAATAATACTTATCAGATGGAGAAGGAATGAGATCCATCTGAGCTTAGACACATTGTGGTGACTTCTGGGGATGTCAGACAGTTTGTTCTCACCAGGAAATGCTGACCCTCAGGGTGGACAGTCTTCTGCAAAGTTCATTTTTGTCAGCTAGCTTTGTCTATCTTCATTTTGCATGACAGCTGAATGGTGTCTGGTGCTGGGACTTACTTAAGCATCTAAAAATGGTGTTGGAAATGCTGTGCAGGGACTGAGAGCGGATAACCTGTGCTCTGCTGCTACTTTACTCCAGAGGACCACGCTGCCACTAGGACTAGTTTAGCCAAGCCCCAAGATAACTTTGTGCAGAGCTTTTCTTCTTCATTCTTGGCCTTCTCTTTGTAACAGAGACCGGGAGGGAGAAACAGGCAATTTTTAGGGAGGACTCAAGGCATGAGTTAGAAGTTTCTATAAGGCATTGGCTTGAGTCGGGGGGGTATATTTCAGTGATCATAAGAAGTCTGTTGTGTTTACAGACACAAAGTCCTTTTATGTTATTATCCAGCCCATGGATACATAACCAGCTCTTACTACAGAGTAGCTGGTGGTAAAAACAAGCAGCACAGCATGAGCTGGGAGCCAGATATCCGTCACACAGCATTGTTGTGCCCCTGTGTATAATCAGGGAGTTTTAGCCTTTCACAGTACAGGTGGGATTGCTGTGCTACTGATGGGCACAAAGCAGCAGTAATTAGTGCGGGGGCATCTGGAGGTGGTCTTCAGCGTGCCGTCGTGCAGCCACTTTTCCCTGCTGGCCAACAGCAGGGGCTGTGTTGTCCCTTGGAAGAGCTGTTGCTGTTGAGCTGAAAACGCCGGCAGTGGTAAGTGGTACTGGGAGGGTGCCAGATTGGAGTGGGAGCATGAAGGAGTCAGATTTAGCTGTTTAGTGGCCTAAGTAAATGGGATGAGAGTTGGCAGTGTCTAGTTCAGAAAAATGCACACCACCATTAGAGTAAACGGCATCCTAATCAGGAGGTATGCTACAGTGCGATTACCCAGCAGGTCACGCCTGGAAACTCAATGGCCAAATGTTTAAAGGCATTAGAGGCTCATAAGGCTACAGAGGGGCACCAAACGGCGTTTTCAGAAGTGTCTCTTATTACTTAGATGGCAATAAAATCCATGGGAAACAGACAGTGAAGTACTTCTTAATGCCTCCCTGAGAAAACTCTGCAAGATGCCTGTTTTTATTAATAGATGCCCACATGCTTCTTAAAAATCTGGCTGTCAGAGATGTCCCCTTCCAGATAAGGCTTAGAAACAGCGAGTAGCACAGGTGGAAGGAGGATTACCTCCCTGTGTAATGCCTGCGTGTGGCTGTATTTGCATGCCTGGTGCCACAGAGAGGTGGATCATGCAGGGATGTGCAATCAGAAACAGATGATGTCACACACGGACCTGACGAAAAGTATCAAAGCAGAGAACAAATAAGTCAGAGCATCGCCTTAGATTCCCATTCCCCTGAGCAGATGGAGAGGAAAGGAGGATATGTTTAGTAGTTTGTTCCTTAGATCCCAATAGCAAAAGTACAACCTGGCTCCAGGGTTAAATAAAGAAGGAAAACAAACTAAACTCTGCTGCTAGCTGTGATGGGAAAAGGCCTGCTGTGCACTTCTTGAGGATTATTAGTGTAACCAGTAGCCGGGGAGATCCACATAAAATTCTAGGAATAGAAAATGGAAAGAGAGACTTCCAACAAAGGTAATCAAAAGTATGATGAAATAGGAGATTATTCTCTCACAAAATTCAGTCTCTTCAAAATCTTATTGTAAATGTTATCTTGCAAAATAATCTGGTGATGTATCTTATAATGTGAGCTAATTAGTGATATAGAAGAGAGAGAACAGGACCTTGAAAGAGAAGGCTTAGAAAGCCTTCACCAACTGTGTCAGGGGCTATAGTTCAGATGCAAAGCTGGTGAACATTCAGATGCATAGTAGCAGTCAGGCAGCCACCGGAGAATTCGTCAAGGAGCACAGGCGCAGATGAAGCTGCCGAGGAGAATACTTCTGTGAAAGTAAGTGCGAGATGTGAACAGAGGAGCTGAATTCAATGTCATGGAAGACCAGCAGGTCCTGTGGAGTAAAACCTGATGATGAAAAGTGGGGTCGCAGGCAGACTTGGCAAGTACACCATCATGTCACAGCCTGCAGGAGAGAGCAGGTAAAGAAAAAATGACGCACAATCAGGAAGCAGGCACTGATTTAGAATTTGCATGCATATAATATTAGACTGTACAAAGTGGCAAAAACGAACGGTTTGTAAGGTCCAGGCTGGCACCAGATGCAGCAATATTACAGTAACAGACCATAGGCAAGAAACTGAGTCATAGAATCATAGAATGGTTTGGATTGGAAGGGACCTTAAAGATCATCTGGTCCAATCCCCCTGCCATGGGCAGGGACACCTCCCACCAGACCAGGCTGCCCAAAGCCCTGTCCAACCTGGCCTTGGACACTTCCAGGGAGGGGTCATCCACAGTTTCCCCGGGCAAGCTGTGCCAGTGTCTTACCATGCTCAAAGGGAGGGTGATATAATGTGAGGTGGATAGAGAACATACTGCACTATGGAGATTTCTTCAGGGTTATTCAAGGGAATAAAGCAACGTTGTTCCTAGCAACGCTGAATGACAATTACATGATGTCTTAATCTCTAGGACTCTATGTTAGCACAAGTGTAATGGCACATATACGGTATTTGAGTTCATGCTTCCAGTAATATAGGAGATACAGAAGCCACTGCTGTCAGTGTGAACAGACGTATGGATGATGCTACCAATTACACTGCTGTCCAGGCTGCAGCAGTGGGAACTCCTGGCTGGGACAGCAGCACCTCTGCAAACTCTGCCTTTGCCAAGGTGTGCGGAGAGAGGATGGCAGGAGCTAAGGAAGGGGTACCAGGTGTCTTACACCACTGTGATCTTCTCTGCCTTTACAGTTGCACTCTGATACTGTTCTCTCAGCTCTGGTTTTCCATGAGGAAAGTGTTTTGTCCTACCAGAAAAGGGTGGGGACTGCTCTGTGTTCTGTTTCCTTGGAGACAGTTTCTCTAGCTCAGAGCAGGTGTATCTAGGTGATCCTGCTCTGGCAGGGCATTTGGACTGGATGATCTTTAGAGGTCCCTTCCAACTCCTAATATTCTGTGATTCTGTACACTAGTGGCACAACATGAGGAAGTTTGAACCATCCAATTTCTTACCTCTTGGATGAGGCAGTTGCCAGGTCTCTTTGCACAGTGTCTTCCACAATGCCTAACCCCATTAACCAGCTCAACATAAGAACTAAGGGATCATTCTCTAACTATTCCTACATTTTGGGGTAGGTTGAGGTTTTTTTTTCTGTAAGTTGATATTATCTCACTGACATGACAGGCAGGATTAATAAAGCCTTAGTCACAGAACTGGAAAGATTGCTTACTTTTACACATAGTACTAAGAGCTGCCTGGAACCTTCGTTGTTTGAGCAGGCAGCCAAAAAGTGAGGGGAAATAATGAGAAAAAGGAGATGTACTTGTCACTACAGCTGCATGATTAAGCGTAGATGCCGGTGAGAGAGTATACAGCATGCTGCTTGCTGCCAAAAGGTATGGAATCATAAAGCAGTGTCTTCATATTTTGCTGCATGATTTCCCTGTGATACTGTGTTAATATAGCAGTGTAGATTAGCAATGCAGTATTAAGACATGACACTGTAATAATTATGTGGGCTTCTTTGGAATCCATTCATTAAGTAGCAATATGTGTCTTGGTTTAATTCAGTGTCATTTGTAAGTGCAAAAAAAAAGTCCCTATGTTTCTGTTCCCAAAATAAATCAATATTTACTGTTTGTTAGATGGCATTTGGAAACAGAAAAGCTACACTGGAGGTCTGTGAACTGCTCAGAATCTTTGTTGTATGTAACAGGCTCTGTCTGAGCCTGCAATTTCTGTGTAAACTTTGAATCCTGCTTTGTAGAGCCATTCTGCCTATGGATGTGCATGCAGCATTTGGTTAGACTCACTGAAAAAGTCTTTTGCTCAAGGAAACCATTGCAAGTCCCATCAGCACAGCTCTGCCCTGTCTTTGCAGCAAAGATCTGTTACCACAGGCCTTTGTGTTGCTTCGGGAGAAGTTTCCAGCTAGGATTCATTTTTGACATAGATGAATGGGAACTTTGGTCCTATATACTTTTGCTGAGCATTAAGCTTTGAAAAATGAACAATTACATTTAGAATTGCCTTTCAACATTAATAGGTGGAAAAGATCTGCCCTGTTCTCTGTATGAGAGTGGGGATTTTTTTTGCTGTGGTAAAAGTGGAGTGGACTTTCTCAATTCAGAGGTACTCCTGGTTTTGGTTGTGTTGTCACATTTTCCTTAAGATTAATATTCCTGATTATAAAAACAAGATACAGAGGTGAGACTGCATTTTGGAAATTTAGTATCTTCTTCTCCATAGATCCATAACCATTAACCAAGAGAATAAGAATTTTAAAACAAGCTTTTGAGAGGAAAAGGTTACCTTTAGCAGAGAACGTACTACTGCAGAGATGGACGTGTTGAGCTGATTTTACAAAGCAGTCAAGTAATTTTGTGTTCTAAAAATTTTAAGACCTACATGCAAGGTACAACTAAATTTCTCTGACAGGTACATGGAAATGTCATTAATAACCTAATATCCCTTGTGTCAGAGATGTACTTTTGGAGTGTGTAATGATAAAAGATGTCTTCTTAAGGCAGTATCATGAAGTTAGAAAGTCTGGAATTTTAAAAAAGATGTGATTTTTTTTCCTCTGTGCCTTCACCCCATAGGATTTCAGGAAATGGTGGGTTTCAACTTAATCCTTGTATGTTCTTTTTTGTGTATTTTCAGGATTCCTCTTCGATTGGAACAGCCACGGTGGCTGGTCCCAGGACAAGTGCAATAGTTGGAGATCAGGGAACACCGCAGAAGGTCCAGCTCCCCCTCAATATGTAAGCAGCTCAGCTCAGTCACTGCGTACTCTTGTTTTCAGTCGTATGCGCATGTGTGCACGTGTTTGAAATCTGAAAGCCTGAATCTAGCTCAGGAGCATTCTGAGAAGAGAGAGATCACAATTGCATACATGACCCAGCCTCTGCTGAAATTGAAAAATGAGTAGAGAAAGGCAAGACTTCCCCTTTCTCTGCGAGCCTTTTTAGACTCCTGGTATATTTATTACAGCTCTATGAATCATTGTGAAGCAAAAAGAATTCCTCTCACCTAGAGAAAATCTTCTTCCTTCATCTAAAAAGGTGTAGTCCTATGCAATCAAACACCTGATACGTTTATTATTAACCAGAAAAAATGAGCCAATTGCATTTTTTCAGTGCCATAAACAAAAGCAACAAATGAACTTCATATCATGGGCATATGGGCTTATTGAATAGTGTGCAGAGTAACAGAAGGTTGAGTGGATACAGAACAAAAAGAGTAGACTTCATTATAATAAATCTCTTCTAGCCTGGTTGGTTTATCTGGTACCTGTCTAGTTAAACTACTGAACCTTTTCCTCTCATCTCATATACCTTGTGAAAGCAGTAGAGCTATATAGACACACATGCACATATGCATACCAGTATTCTAGGGTTTTATGACATGGCTAAAACAAAGTCTGAATTCACAAGTAAAATCCTAAAATAGCATAGCAAATCTGCTTTAAGGAGAATAGGGGAGTTGGAACAGAACCAAAACAAATTTGTTCTTGGCTCCTAAGGTGAGATCTTCATGCCTGAGGGGTACCACACATCACTAAGTGCCCCACAGAGAAGTCTCATCATCACCTTGTGCTCACCCTGTGCAGGCTGTGGGGCACATAGTGGGGCACAAATTTATTTCAAACGTTGCCCAGACTAGGAAGCAGTGACTGGCAGTACTTCCAGTATTTATTTGCTGAATCAGGCATTTTTCAGCTCTCTGACAATGCCCCTGCCTACATCCCTCAGCAAGCCTTCCCTTCTCCTTCCCTTACTTCTCCAGTCATCTCCCCATGAAGCAGCTGCATAATTTGGTCTATCATTTTGCATTTACAACACAAGTTCCAGTCAAAGAGGAGGTGTTATCTGAGAGCTATAGGGAGGTACAACCCTAGACAGGGCCCTGGGGCTTCTGCATTGTAAGTAGGGTCATAGGCAGCTCCCTGAGGCCAATGAGATACCTTCTTGCTTAGGCCTTTTTCTAGGGACCTTTTTGTAAAGGCTTTGGCTTCCTCTAGGTCCTGCCCCCTAACCCTTAGCCTCACTGTTTCACATAGCCCAGAACAACTTGCCATTACATTTTGTGAGATTTCAGATTGTTTTAACCATTTCTTCTTGGTTGTGGAGAATTGGCTGGTGAAGTTTTACATCTGGAATCTAGAGAACAGTGAAACATGTCCAAGTCCAAAGGCTTTGGCTTAAGGCAAAATCAGCCTCAGCGAGCAGGACCCCTAGCCCTAATCCCCTTCCAGAGGAAAAGCCCAGAAACACTTTCTGGAGAGGGAAGCTGACTGCATTCAGATTGTTTGCAGCCACATATGAGGGCAAGTGTCCTGCCAGCTCTCCCACAGCCCCCTCTGCATCAGCACACAGGGCTTACGCCTGTCTCCATGGGGTAGGCATGCCAGCCATCAGCCAGCAGACTCAGGATGGGCATCCTCACTGCCCCACATAGGCAGTGGGATTGCTGGTCCACAATGAACGTGCTGATCACCTCTGTTGTCCCAGCATCATGCTATGTGGCTATCATATACAAATTTTCACCAGTTTAGCAATACAGAGATTGGTCAGTTTTGGCATAGAGTCCAGGCTGGGCTGTTGTATACCTTCTTTTAGTCTCTGCAAGGGTTTTGTTACTCTCTCCGGAGGATGTTTAGGCTCATTGTGATATTGGTTATTCAGGCTTACTGGAGGCTGAGTTGGGGAAATTTGCAGGGAGAAACAGAAAGAAACTAGAAGGAGAGTTGGAGATAGCTGCAAGGGAAAGCAGCCTATGATCCACTTAGGGTAATTTTCCTTGCACCTTCTTCCAGCATCTCAACCGATAAAGTACATTATTACATGTAGACCCTTGGGGAAAGCACTAAGTATGTCTATCTGAAATGCTCTGTCCTTGAGCCCCTGCTTTACCCATAGCTTCTGAACATGAGCCCTGTGTAAGCAGCAACTTAAAAAGGGGCAGTCAAAGCCACAATTTCTGCTCTCTGGAGTGCAGTCTTGGCACTCTCTGTTATATCCTAGCGGAGCACTGTGCTGAAGGGTTAGCACTGAAGCATGTAACCTTATTTCATGTCAGGATGGTGCATTTGAATGTTCTCCAGTTCATATGTAGCTTCATGTTTTCCATCAGGTGAACAGCTACAGACCTGCTCAGGACCACCTGACTGTACAGGCTAAACAAAGGATCTGCAGGATGGTTTCTCCCATCTGTTGCCTAATGAAATACAGTTTCTGATTAGGTCTTTGTACCCCATGCACGTGGTAAACAGAGCTAGGCACATCAGCCTAAGCATGCCCCAAGGAGCTGTTACCAAATATTTCATATTCTGCTCATTACTGCTGTTTATTTACTGCCTTCAGAATAAAAATAAGGAAATCTACTCATACCATAAAGGGATAGAATCAGGAAAACTAACAGGATTTATTCCTCAATTATATTCCTGGAGAGCAGAAGTAAAAAGCCATGTATCATTTTTATTGGCTGCAAGTCTACAATCACAATGGTTATAGTTTTCATTATTTCTCTGATTCGCTGCTACAAGGTGGGCAGCAAGCCTCTTCTCACACACCTCCAAGCCTAAGAGCAATCTGCTGCACTTTGTAGTGTAAATGCACTTTCCCTAAGTGTTTCCCCATTTGTCTTAGTCTCTCTGCACTGCCTGTTATGCACAGGCAGGTTTTTTGCTTTGTTAAAGCACAAAGAAAAAACCCAAAAAAGTATAACCTTGATCAAGAATTACCAGAAATCCCTTTTTGCATTTGTAGAAAGGCGACAGTACCAAAATAAAATTGATATTTACAAAGAAAGTGCTGTTCTGTGTGTGCATTCTTGCTATCCTATCCTGACTTTCCATTATTCCCCAAAGTGCAAGCAATCGTTCTTAATTTTCAACAAGGATCTCTCTGAACAGAGAGAACACCTTTAGGGACTTTAAGCTGTAGTCATTTGACAACATTCAACACATCCCTGAAGTAGTAACGGAAGAACAAAAGAGAGAGAAAAAGAAAGAGTCAAAACAAAGGGAGTAAGTAAAAGCTGTAATTAAATAAATAAAAAGTTCTACATATTGGGTCCTCGATTAAATATTTATTAGAATATTTGCATACAAAACATCCAAAGCCAAATTTTACCACTTTGCTTACTCAAGCAGAAATCCCCTCACAGAATTTGGCCCTCTGTCACTTTTTGTTTTACCCACATAGTACGAGAATTACCATACCAGATCAGAACAGTTCAGTGTGTTGTTTCTAAAACTGGCCAGCATAAATAGCAACAAGGAAGTTGCAAGAAAGGCTGCCTTAAACTTTTATAAAGTAGCCTACCAATAAGAAAACTTTCTCCTGCAAATGCGTAGTAGAGGCAGCTCCCACCCTGAAGCATATGAATACATACCTCATCCAGATGTTAGGCTTTGCAAAGCCTTCCCACTTAAGTCCCCATTATTCTGGCTGTCTCTGTGATTGCTTTGTCCTTCTGAAGCTGCTGATAAATTCTTAACTTCAGTGCTGCTTTGTGGCAGCATTTTATTTTGGTCATGCCTTGGGCAAGAAGTGTGTCCTATTAATTTCTAAATTACTCCCTGACTTTAATGTGATTACTTATTCCGTTATTGTCTTAGCATCCACTTGACCTTGTCTCTGCCGTTCATTGTTTGGCATGCTGTAGTGATGTCCCTTTTCAACCACCATTTCCGAGCAGTGCTTCTGCTCGCTTTCTGCTCTGTGTGGCTGGAGTTGAAGCTGGACAGGTGGTGGTTGATGTCAGCTGTACCCTCTCTTCTTGTGTCACCTCTCCCTGCAGCTACCTAGCCCTGTACGCCTACAAGCCACAGAAGAACGATGAGCTGGAGCTCCGCAAAGGCGAGATGTACCGGGTCATTGAGAAATGCCAGGACGGCTGGTTCAAGGGGACGTCTCTGAGGAGCGGGATGTCTGGCGTCTTCCCAGGCAACTATGTGACGCCTGTTTCAAGGTGAGAACCACTGGCCAAGGTGGATACGCCTCAGCTGGGACTGGGGGGTGATCTGCATCTGGAGAATGCTGAAGACAACATAGCTCTGCTTTGAGATCACGTCCTCCTTCCAGAAATTTTCTTGATGGCAACATTGTGCAGTGCAGACTTGGGTAATGAAGCTTGCTGGTTGTAGCATTGGAGTTATCCATGTTCTCAGAAGACTTTGCTAGTTGTGTTAGATGATGGCATTTACAACCTGTGACTTTAGAAAGTCTGATGTGCCTAAATCTTACTATTGTAAAGAATCTGTTGGCTAATTAGTTTTTTATTGCTATAAAACTACTGGACATGTAATGGGGATAAACAAGGGAAGGGATGCTTGTGTCTTGCTTTGCAGTAGCTCCTAATATAGATTTTGTTTTTCTTAAATCAAAGGTCTTGGATTGTTTGGATCGGGAGTAATGTTTGAACCGTTAAAATTCAGAAGTGGTAGGGAGTTCAGTAAATTGTCTGATAGTGGCTACCTCTTTCTCTGTTGCCAAAGATGAAAAAGGAAAGAATAGCATGTTTGGGGCGGAACATTATTTGTCAGAGTTAGGTATTGGACAACACAAAATCAAAGGGTGTTTCTCATCTAGAGTCCACTCTGAAATAGTCTGTGAGTTCAGGAGAAAGTTCATCAGCATGTCCCAGACTATTAAGCCACACTTGCCCCTGTCTCCTCCAGAGCAGCCACGGGTTTACAAATCAAACTCATTCCTTCTCATATGCTCTCAGTCTCTCCTCCCACATACACACAGTCACCACCATCTTTCACTCCTCTACAGAGGATGGCATCACACAACTCAGAAAGTGTTGATCTTGAAAAATTGATCCAAGTTTGTTCCATTTAAGTTTATGTCATGTTTGTAATATGTGGACTGAGCAAGACCAAAAGTTAAGAGCAGATTAGGAGATGATAACTAAGCCTGCTGACAGTTCTAATATTTCATTTCAGTTGAAAAAAACCCCATTAATTCATGGGGTTGTCATTGTTCATCAACCTAAATGTATTTACCTGATTTTATAGAGCCTCTCGGCTGCCTTCACTCCTTGCCTCTTCAGCTCTTAATTAGTAAAGAAGTTTGTGCTGAAGTGTTGGTGATCTGAATCAGCAAGACTTTATTAAATGCAGCATGTCATGGCTAGAACAAGGCAGACAGAAGTGCTAAAGGGCAAAAGTGCTTTTCACAAAACCTGAAAGCAGCTTTGTGATTGTATTTGTGATTCTGTGAGCTAATTAAGTGCCTGTGTAAGTCACCCTCAGTGAGAACAGTAAGAAAAATCTGATAGCAACAAAATCTTCTATTTGCTGCACTTTCAACTTACTTTGTTCCCCTTTGACAGCAAAGCAGATGATGACATTCATACATGTTTTTCTGCCACTCCTTACAAAACCCAAGGAAAAGAAGTTGCCCATGAATTTAATAACACCTAACTAGATTTATAAGCTACCAAAGCACATGTATGAGCAGAGCATGGTGGAAAAAGAGCAAGACCCTTTAGATGGACAGACAGGCACAGGGCAACAGAGAAATTTTGCCAGATCCAACATCTCTCCAGCTCTGTGGGAGTCACAAATAGTTTCTGTACCTGTCAGTGTGCATGTTTGCCTGAACACAGCTCTCGGCAGACTATTAGGTGTGCTTTCCTGGCAAACTCCATCTAGTGCAGATGGGCGAGCCAGCTCCAGCTGAACCTTGCTGCTGCCCTGCCAGCTCTTCGCAGCAGATGACAGTCAAGATTTCCATCTGGTGGGATTCCCAGCTTTTCACTACCTGGAGGCTGCTGAAAAAAAGTGAAGGAAAAATAGAAAAAAAACACCAAATACCAACAGATTACTTTAGCAAAATGTAATCCAGGCAAAACTTGCTCAATGAGATGAGTGAAGGATTTTATGACACCACAGTATTGTTTTTCCACCTGTGATTTTGGGGGGAGAGGGGATTGGGCAGAGAGGATGTCTGTCTTTTGCACTTTCAGATCATATCTTCCAGCCTGTGTTTTGGTCTCTTTTCTATCAGAATTTCAGTCTTTTGGCTCCTTTCCACAATTTTCTTAGGGTTGCTTCTTATGTCTGTCTTATCCTCTGAATCAGACCAAGTTGTTCAGCATATTCCTTCTTTCTGCTCTTCTCCTCTTTGTGTACACACACAACAATTTTGAGGCCTCAGAAGTTCTCCCAGTTTCTCCTCCCCCTAGTTTGGTCTTGTACCCTTTCTGTTATCCTCTCCTCCCTTAGTACCCACCTGCATTGTCTCATTTCCATTTCCTTCACCATACTTTGTTCTGCATCATGTCCTCTCTGCTCCCCTTTCCTGGAGGAGGACCTTGGCACATGGAGCAGCCCAGGTGAGGAGAACAGCACAAAATGATTCCCCTGTTTCATGACATCTAGTGCTGGAGAAGGAAATTACTCAGGAACCTGAGTAAGTAACTCAGAGAAAGAGTTCCTGAGCGACAGCTGAGCTTGTCCATTGGTGTCCTTCTGTCCTCCTCAGTGTTCTCCTGTCTAGGTCAGAGAGTTTCTAGCTCAGTGATAGGAGGACCAAGACCTGCTCTAGGCTGAACTCATTGCACAGGAGAAAGAGCCTCAATCCTTCCCTCTGAGGTGTCCCCGGTCACTCAGATGAAATACAAACTACACATACAGTTTAAGTGAGCAGTGAAAGAGGGGTCAATTATCATTTGGATTTCCTTTTCAGTAAGATCAGCAGCACAACCTTCCCTTTTGCATTTCCATAGCAAGTCTAAGCTAGGGCTGGTAACGTCAGTAAGTGTTCAGCCAAGCCAAGCCAAGCCCTGTCAATTTTGCTGCTTTTCAGTCCCCTGCAGCAATCACACACAGATTTGGTGTTATCCATCTTTTATTCTCCCCATGGGGCTGTATGCACGTTTGGTCCTAAGAAAAGATCTCTGAGTCTGTTTTAATTATCACTCCATTAGTGCCTGTAAAATAGCCTCTGGCACACAGAATGACATTTGGGAGATATCCATTTCTGCTGAATTTAGATTTGTGATTTCGCTAGAACTTATTCAGTCAGAAATGTAGTTTAAGGAAAAAAGTGATGAGAAAAATTCTCTTTTCCATTTTTACCCTGCACCTCTTCCCACAGGGGAAAGGGGTAAAAATATCCTCCAGCATGCTTACGACCATGTCCCATAAAGATAAATATGTATCTATATCTCAATTTACTTTAACACTTGAGAGGGTGCTATGTTGAACCCCCTGAGTAACTGGGGGTGCTTATCAGCATGGTGGCTGGGTATTGGGGTCTCTGCAACACGCTGACACTGTGCTTCATCTCTGTGCAGGGTGCCGGTGGGAGCTGGGCAGCCCAGAAACAGCGGAGCTGGAGGAGTTCCAACAACGAAAGGAGCCCCAGGAGCCATCCACCCCATTGGGGCCAGTCACACCAATGCCACCACGTCCGTCAGACCGGTTGTTCCTATCACTGCGCCTTCGACGCATCCCCAGCTACAGGCAGCCTCTCCGCAGCTGAACAACTGCTTGAGGTATTCGGCTCAGCAGCCAGCCAGCCAGACCCGCAACGCCATGCAGATGGGTATGTGTGTGTACCTCCGCCGGTGCCTCTCGCCCTGTGTCGGTGGGATTTGATGTCGTACCCCTCGAGCGCAAGCCTCCCAGATCTGCCCCTTCCCCACAGCTTGCTTTCTCCTTTTAGTCACAGCTCAGTCAATATGGAATAGAGTATGTTTTATTTGCTTGTAATATTTATGGGCTCCTATTGATCTCTGGGAACCATGTTGTGTTTATCAGATTGTTCTGTTGCTACAGCTGAAATAGATTATTGTGTTTACAAATATTTATACAATTTATCTGAGTGAAAGCAAGCACCCTGCATACTAAGGAGATTAACAGTTCTGAGTCCGGTTGGCTTGCAGGCAGAAAAATAACTGCTCTTATCACAGAGCAAGTAATACATGACTTAAAATTAAGAAGCATTTCATTGGACTTCAGGGATGAAAGGTATTTATTAGACAGAATGGGACCCGGTGTTAGTGGTAAAGCGAAAGATCTGAAAAATACTACCACCTTTTTAAATGAGAATAAGAGCTTCTCATACTAGGAGGCCTCTGTTCTTTCTACGTTCCCTTTCTGATGTACAGCACAATTTTCTATAGTACAATTTATTCCCCATTCCCTGATGTTAAACAGCTCTGATGTTGAATAAAGTAAAAGTAAATCCTGTGGTGGGACTTTACAGCAAAATTTAAAGCATTTTGTTTCTGATATTTTATAGGCATGTGAGCCATTGTGTTTACAAAGGCAGATCAGTAAGGACTGTAACTGCTGAAAACTGAGGTCTTAGATACAAAGCAGAGCAGGCACAAATGAGAAGTACACTGTGGTGTAAGTCATGGATTCATACCTTTTGAAGCCAGAAGGCACCATTATGCCCGTCTAATCTCACCTCCTACACAGTGCAGACCAGAGGGAAGAAAATGTAATCAAATATGTGTGAATCTGAATCGTGAACAGTGCAGACTCCTCTGCTCAGCACACAGTGGCAGGACTTTACACAGCATCCATGTCGCACCAGGGAATAATTGATTTATCCTCTTTCTGTCTAGTTCAGAAAGTGCTGCTTTCCCCTCAAGTCACAGCCTTCCAAAATCCCTTTTGCTCCCACAGTGCAGAGGCAGAAATGTCGCTTCTTGGTCAAGGCTCTCAGGAAACATTCAGGTGCTTCTGATGCCTCCTGTGCCCATGCCAATGGGCAGACAGGCTCCCCTGAAACTGAGGTGATGACCTTTTTGTCCCACGCACCTGACATATCCCACACTTTCCTTTCATAGCACTGCTGTGCTACACCTCTAGCAGCTTCCCTGATTCGAGACTGCTCCTCAGGGCCACTCTGACATCTTAAAATGCCAAGGAGTTGGCAGACAGGGTAATCCAGGGAGCACAGAGCTGCTGCAAGACCTTCTAAGTGGGTTGTTCTCCAGCCCTTCCAGAAGGTTCACGGGATTGTTGTTTTAATTAAATAAACCTTTGCCAGGATAAGTAAATTTTTCATGATTATCAATATTTTTCTCCATAATGGATGTCCTCACCAGTATTGTGTGGACCAGAGCCCCTCAAAAGGTCTCTTTAGTCCTGCAGGACAGGACAGTGCACACTGACTTTTGGAAAAGCTTTCCAAGAGAGGCAGACTGACACAGTATTCAAATCACGTTTCTGTTGGCTTGCAATATATATGAGTAACAAATCAATTTTGCACAAGGCCACTAATGTAGGAATACACCCAAAATGAAATATGAGTGATGTAGAACAAAAATAGCCTTCAGTGAGCATTGCTAATTAATAGCATGTTTGATGCAGCGCAGTCCAGATCCAGAGAACCCAGAGCAAAGGCATACATTGTAACAGTAAGCAGATGAAATCAGAGAATAAAATGTGAGAGCTCTGCTCAGAGTTGATTTTTCTCAGGCCATTTATTTTACTGTTTCTCATGTTTTCTGCTTCCTTTGTGTCTGGAAATACTGAATCCTACATGAAAGAAGTAATGTACCTGACATGATTATCAAATCAGTCTTCTGCATACAGATACATGCAGTGAAATTCCATTATTATGCTTTTCCTCTAAATTTAGGAAAGCTATTGCTCCCTTCAGCCAGTAGTTCAAAACCTTGACCCTGCAAGCTTAACCATCCTGGAAAATTACATTTCTGGCAGCAGCGGTTGCTCATCACACAGGTTTCAAACAGAAAAATCAGGAGGGAATCACTTCAAGATAACCAGTGGTGCCCTGTCTGACTCTCTGGAAAGGAATTGCACTTTCCGGTATATATTATTGGTAATCCAGGGAGGGGAAAACGGTAACTAATAGTAAGAATGGTCTTGAAGGCATCTGTAATAACTTTTAGGCCCTATCTCATGCTACGTGGTAAAGTCACATTAAGTTCAAGACTGGTTAATGATAGTTTGGTTGATTTGCTATGAGCGACATTAATAAAAAGAGATGTTATGGAGTCAAGGAGTTACCATGAGGGAGAATCACGTAAACTTTGGAGGTGCTAATCTGCTGATCACTGGCCTATCATGTCCAGTATCACTTTGATAATAGGGCATAAGGCTGGGGATGAAATTCCCCCCTGGCAGGAGCACTCAGCTGGTGTAGTGAGCATGATTAATCACACTCCTTAGCATTTCCATCCCTGGTAATGGGTGTCACTGTTAACCACAGAAACAGAAAACAGTGGTTTGAGTTGTTCTAGCGTTGTTGTTTAGTTAAAGATTAAGTGAACTCCAGCTGGTCCCATGTAAAATTGTATTCTTTGGATGAATTTGTAAGAAAACCATAGATCAGAGTGGGTTAGAAATCTTCCAGAAAAATGCTTCTTGGTCAAAGGAAAGCTGATTTGTTAGGCTCAAAGCTTTTTGACAGGAATGGACATAGTTCAACCAGGCTTCAGCCATGAAGCTGTCCTGGTTAAGGCTGCAAAGGGAATAGACAGCTGCCCAGAGCTGTTCTCCTCAGTGACCAGATCCTGTGTTTTCACATCTCAGGTGAATGCCCTGACCAGAATAGAGGCTACTGTGAGGTGAGTGAGTAGGTTGTTCAGAAATATGTTTAAAAGTTCAAATTTTGCACTGAGGCAGAATGAAACCAGGTTATGAAACCTTGAAGTCATTCATGAAATGGGCATTTTCCAGCCAGTCCTACTATTGAATCGTTGGGAGTGAGCGAATGTCTGAGTGTCATCTTGGCTTCTGGTCTGTACATACCTGAAGTGGAGCTGTATGCAGGTTACACCTAAGCAATCAACCAACCTGGAAGTCAAAGGCAATGTTGTTGTGGAAATGGACCTGGAACTTTGTCACACTTTTTATAATGAGACTTCCAACAGGCTCCCGAATCCCTGGAGAGCTGACCTCAGCAATGTGTCATGGTCACTGTTAAACAGATGAGCACTAATTCCTGGTTCCTAGTGCTACTAGGCAGCGTTTGGCTCAGCAAGACTGAAAGGCACTGTATGGTCCCTTAGGGACTTTGCTGGCAGAGACAAGGCTGACTTCAGAAATCCTCCAGTGGATTTCTGCTTAATTTATCCTGCAGAGCATAGTGATGTGCTGCTGATCATTTTGTGTCGTGGTTTAGGGCTGGGCCGGCC